TTTACAAGTAAGCAGTGCGCTGTACTTGGGCTGATGAGAAGAGGAGGTTAGGTCTGGCTGAGAATGTGGTGATGGTGAAGTTCAGATAGCCATGGTCAGACAGATCTGGAATGCTGGAGATGGCATGGCAATCTGCAGGGGAAAGCTCCCTGGGAAGGTCGCAGCTTCACTGGGGAATTTTCCCCCATGGATTGCCAGTCTGCTCTCAGAAACACCTGTAGATGTCCTTTTTGTGTACGTTCTGTTGTTCTCTCTTACTGCCTGACAGTGTCACGCTAAAGCTATGTTCGTTTCATGCCAAGGCAGGCTGTGGCAGTGTTACTGGCTAGTGTTAGAGCAGCACAGTTGTCATCACTGTTCTTATTTCAAGTGTTTAGTGGACAAAACTTTGATTTTATAACTTGTTCCTTGAAACACCTCCCTGCTCAGAGTGTATCTTAGTGGGCTTTGTTGCCAGGTGTATTTTATCCTACTTTTCTTTCCTAAATGCTTCTAAGTGGTAGTGGTACTTTAAGGAGAAGACACCAGTGTCAGACAGCAGTGATGGAGATGAAAGATGTGCTTCTTTGGAAACTTCCTAGTAAAGATTGCTTTCTGGAAGAAGGCTGGGGTAGGACATTACTCTGAGGATCCACATCCTCAGTGGGAGGCTGCAAGGCTACACAGCAGGAAAAATAACCTTCCAGTTCAGAAAATTCAGCTTTGGGAGACAGAAGAAAGTACAATAAATGGCAATAAAAATAATGAAGTAAAATACTTTAATAATAAAATATTTCAAAATAAATCCTTTTTTAAAGATCTCTAATCTGAAAGATGTGCAAATGATATTTATTGTATTCAGGGGGGTTGCAGACGCCTTCACTAAAGTAATTGATGGAACAATTAAAGGTCACTGTTGAGGGATTATAGAACTAAAAGAAAGATCTGCCTTGGGGTAGAATGTCATTTATGTGTTTCACCAAATTTATTAGGTTTTTACAGGGCCAGGAGAGAGAGATTACAATGTTGCCTCTTGGGTCAGATGAGATTATATGGGACTGTACTCTAAATAGTTTATTACTCCCTGAACAATTTTAGCATGAGTTCTGAATGTTGGAGGAAAAGAACAGGCAGATAACCTGAAAACCTTCATCAGACAAAATCCAGTAGCTGTCAGATCCTGACCAAGAACCGCACATTTTTTCAATAACAGAGATTTGGGTAGCAAGCTAAGAGATGAGACTTATTCATCCTTCTTGATTTGACTCCCCTGCACTCCCAGCCTCGCAGAAGCGTTTGGTTACACTGTCAGGGAAGGCTGGTTTAGTTTTGTGTGAGATAGGTAAGAGTTTGAGCAACCTTCCCAACCAAACATTCTCTTGTAGCTAGTGAGCAGACCTGGTGCTGCTTGGAGCTGCCTGTCTGTGGTCCCACGTTACTCTGCTGCCTCACCTCTTACGGTTATGTCGTTTCTGTCTTCCACTAGTAGGTGAGGCAGCTCCAAGCGTCTCCTTGTGGTACGCTGTTTTGTCCATCATTCACGCCCTGCGCTGCTTGAGCGCAAGTAAGGCTCGTGGACCATAGAGAACAGCCTGTTTCTGCTTGTTCCTTCTCCTGCCCAGCAAAACTCTTTCTCAGCTGAATTCCTTGCTGGTGCTGCTGCACATCTTACTGCTTCCCATCACCCTTACCATCCACGTTCGCCACAGATTTCAGAGGGGTTTTCATATGGGGAAGAGCTGCCTCACTCTTCTTGTTCTACCTTCTCAAGTCACAACTATGGGATCTTCATCACTAGATCTGTCACCTGGGGTAAAGACTTGGATTCATTGCATGTGGATGTGGTGCTTAGGGATGTGGTTTAGTGCTGGCCTTGGTAGTGTTGGGTTTACGGTTGAACTCTATGATCTTAAAAGTCTTTTCCAACCTAAATGATTCTATGATTCTTCCTGGTGCGTCTAGCAAGAGGATCCTAATCACCATCCACAGACATTTTCCTAAGGTTGCCATTTCCAGGGGAAATAGGAGGGAAATGCTTTTGTTTTCGACTTACTGCCAGTTTCTTGATTTCCTGTAAATACCATTTGGGCATCGTTATGGCTAAGGACTTTTAAATGGAAAGTTTCTCTTCTGGAAAAGGGAGTGCAAGTAACATTGCTGTGCGTTTGAAGAGATGGGTTTATTTCTAGGAAAGGAGGAAAATTAAGTCTGAAAATTACAAGGTGGCAGAAATAAGAAAAAAGAAAAGTTTTAACAGGGAAACTATGAAGAATGAAGTATTTCTTAAGACACCTCCCTCTCTGGAGCTGAAACTAAAATACAGTGCCAGAAGAAAACACTATGTAGAATTTAAATAATATAAGCAATCTGCCCCTCTTGTAAAAGCTCATACGAACTTCCTCCGTGCCACCAGCTGCAAATGTAGTTGTACTCTTGATGCCATCTGACTGCACGCACTGAGCAGCGGGGACTTCATCTCATTGTAAATCACTGTCAAGTACCTAAGCAGCGTTCTGTAATAATGTGCAGTACTGTACATTTTATTTGCATACACATTTTATATGCACAAATAGTTGCTTTTAGTTCTGTATTTGTGGCACTTTTTAAGAACTCCCTGCTTTCAGCAATGTAGAATATAATGAGAGATAACTGGAATTGTTTTTAGCCTTTTATGCCCAAAGCAGCTGAGACTCCCATATGACTAAGATGAGTTTGTTAATTGTCAGTTTGCTTTAATGTAATGGTTCAGAAACTTAATCTGTTGCTGAAATATTTATTCTGCTGTTGTTCTTCCATTACTCTTTATTGGTTTTTATTCGTAAGAAACTAATCAAGGTAAAAAAAATGTGTATTATATTTTCCATACCCATTTGTATATATTTATACACATGTATTTTATTTATAGATAAATAGATAAGCAATGTAAAGCCATGACATTTATTAAGGCCATTACATAACAACGTGAAATGAGGCAGCAAGGCAGCTTTCCCGACCTTGTGTGCAAGTGGTCACACACACAGCCAGGACAATTGGTGGTTTTCCTCACCACTCAAAGGAATCTCAGTGCATTCCAGGATTCCCTTTCCAGGTGTTTGGCATCAGCCTTTGCTGGTGCGTTTGAAAACAGTGCCCTGGTGTATGCTGTCAGTTGACAGACAGATGGCCAGGGCAGTAACTGTGCAGTCCTAAAGCCTTGCCATAAGACAAGAAAAGCAGATAAATAACTTTCCCAAGTTGTTTTCTGTCTCTGATGCAAAGCACCTTGGCCTTTGGGGCAGACTAATGAGAGCCAAAGGCAGTGAGAGCCCCAGCCACCGTCCGTCGCATGGGGTGTAGCCGCATGCCTCTGCCAGGTGACAAGGAGGGGCGACCCCCCTGCAGAACATGCCCTTTTCCAGGCCAGTCTGGGGTTCTGCTTTCCTCATTTCTCTGCTCAGAATTAGACTCCCAAGTTAAATACGATGAAAGTGCATTACCAGAAATAGAGCTGTGCGGGTATTTTCTGGCTGTGGCTGGAGGTTCCACGCCTGAACAAGAGCCTGTGTCTATAGGGGCTGGCAGGTTTGGTGGCATTTAGAGGATAAATTATGCATGGTTGAAATGAAGTGTATTTTAGCAGCAGATAGCTGAAAAGCCTTGCAATGTACTCCTAATTCAGCGGCATCGCCTTGAGCTGCTCTGAGGCCTCTCTTTTAAACTCCAACATTAGCACAAAGCACACCTCTGACTGCAGGCATTTAAAGATCAACAAGGGCCAAAAAAGCTTTTAAGATCCAATGAAACCAGGAAAACAACCATGCTGCCTTTCAGTGTCAGGTTAGATTGCCTTCTTATGAGTGCAGCTATTTCAGGTACAGAGTGCTTAGTGGTTTGGGTCTTGTTGTGTGGAGAAAGCGTTCCCCAGAAAACATCTGTTTCTTTCACCTGCAAACCGCAGTGTGCTGTGAAAAGGCAGGACGGTAGCCACAGAGACCCAGGGGAATGAAGGAAATCTGGCTCAAAGGGATGAGCAGGGTTTGCTGGAACATGGTATCAAAAAGAGCACTTAAAAGGAGAGAATGCTTTTAGAGCACACGATATACTGCAAACTGGGCAGGTCAGGTGCCTTGTAAGCTTGAAATTCTTCCTGGATTGCCAGTACTGTTTTCTTAGCAGCAATGTTCACATTTTGCTCAGAATTGCAACACGAGGACTTTATTTTCTTTTTCAGCAGCTGTAAAATGGTCTGCTTTTCTGTAAGATAACGGGAAACCCCCTGTCATCTGGAGCATCTAAAATCTGTATATACAATAGAGCTGCTGCTCTCCCTTTTGTGTTCACGTCTTCATTTTTATCTTACCAGAACGGAAGTTTCAGGTGTAGCTCTCACGTATGTATGATGAGTGTAGTACCGCACCCTTGACTTGTAAAAATCTTTATAGGCTATTTAAAGCCATCAGATAATGTAATGTTAATATTATGCTATATATTACGTATGTATATGTGATATACAACAAAATAACTCTGTTCCTTCTGAATGACAAACAGAAGGCATTATGTCAGAAGCAGGGATTTACACATTAAAACTACTCAGACTTACAGCTGCTAGAGAGCTGGCTTGTCTGGCTCTGGATCTGGCTTCCCACAGCCATGCTTGTGCTGAGCTGGCGAGCCGTTTCCACCTGTGTTGGTAAACTCCTCGTGTGCCTTCTGCTGTCTGTGTCATCCAGGGTAGAACAGGGGAAGTTGGAGCCGTTCCTCTGGAAACATGCTGGATGTTGTTTCTTCTTTTTCTAAGTCAACTGGGCTTCCCAGGAACAAGTTAA